GAAGAGCGGATTTTACCACTACCTAGCGGAAACAGTTTTGTTAGTTGTGGCGCAACGGGCCACTCCGCCGGGAGCGTGAAAGCAAGTGCATCGAAAGACAAGAGCTTAGTCGCTGAGGCGGGGGCAAGCGGCTCCTCTGCCCACCGCGATGCTGCTTCAAGAGCAAACAGACGGGCTGAAGGAGACGTGACGCTCGGCCACGAGGGCAGCGATGATGATGGTGATGAGAAAGAAGAGAAAACTTGCTCAAGCGCCAGCAGTCCGCCTCCGAGAAACAAGCCCCCCGCGTCCGCCAAACCCAAACTCAAGGTGGGGGCAAAGGGCACCGGGGCGCGTTGCTCGGACTCTCCGGATGAGAGCAGCGCTGATCTGGGCGACAGGCTGGTTGCTGCGGTCCGAAGTCTGTACGAGAGACACCGGGGCTCCGCCGCAACACGGGGCCACGCGCCGCCGGGGCTCAAAGAGATCCTCGGCTACCTCAGCACGCAGCGAGGGATGCCCGGGTTGAAGCTGACCCGCAACCGCGTTAAAGTGGTGCTGGAGCGCGAGATCGAGAGGGGTCGTCTCCGCAGGACCCGCCTCGGCCACATCACTCCTGCCGCGCGGGGGATGGGGGCGGCCAAGCCGTCCGCGCGTCTCCTGAAGAGCGCACTGCAGGACAGACATCTCGCGAAAATGGTAACTTAATATTTCCGACACGTCCTGCGCAGCGCGCAGCGCTACACCCCGTCTCCGTATAAATAAATGATCGTGCTTTTAGAAAAGCGAAAGAAAAAAGCGCAGGACAAAAAAAAAACCGCCCCGCACCATCCGATTTCCGCTCTTTTTCTCGCGTGCAACTGTGCGCCAGAACACCTAAACTGTGTGTGTCTGCGGCAAACAGCGTGTTTTTGTGCTTGTTCTGAGGTCGTGTTGTGTGCAAACGGTAGGAGAAGCGACACCTCGATTGTGTGTTCCGCTAGACACGCAACTGTCTGCGTGCTCTGTTTCACTTCAGCGTCTCGGCACGAAAGGTGCGGACTCGCTCGGCAGAGCCCGCGTGCGTGCGTGCGAGACACCGTCGCTTCTCTTGTTACACAAAAGCGCGCTCGTCGAGAATCAGTGTGCTGAAAAACATTGATGTCTGCATGAACTGCGCGACATCGCTATTAGGATTTCACAGGCAGGGCCGACGATTATTGCTGCGTTACAAGTTGTGCTGGATATTTTTCACTAGGCGGTGTCTGTTAAGTTAGACGCGCACGGAAAATGTAAAAGCGAGGGAGGGGGGACCCGAGGCTCGCGTCTGTTTTCTCGGACGAGCCGTCGCTCTGTGCAGTACTTCGGTCATACGAGGTAAAAGCAGTTGCGATGGCGGAAATTCGCTGCATGACGAGCCAAAGCGGAGCGGAGTGCACCCTGCGCTTGCAGTCTAAGCCTCTTAGTTCCGTTCCGTGCGGCTCATCCAGTCAGTTTGAGCGATGAGCGTTCATCGTGTTTCCTTCTTTTTTTTTGCGCTGTTATCCTCTCTGCGTTGATCAGATTTCTCAAGCACTGTCCCGCTCTCTTACAGACTGTGGTCGAATTGATTATGAACCCCACTGAGTTACTTAGTACGTGGTCAAATCGCTGTTCTAATCTAATCGAAATCACTGGCAAGAGAATCTGCGACGGACGTTTGGGCAGTTTGTGTTGTTCTAAGGAAAACCCGCAATTTGTAAAATCCTGCAGACGACGGAGGTCACGCACAAGGCCGCAATTTGGCCTTTTCAAATATGCGGGCGTCGAGTCAGTAGTTTTGTCCTTTTCTTTTCTTCCACGCAGCTAATGTGATGTAAGGTACAGTCACGATTAAATCCATTCCAATCACTGAGATCTGTACAATAAAGCGTTCAGTAATGCTCTATAATGACTACTGTTGGTTAAAAGTCCATTAGAGCTTTTTGAAACGGTGTCTCTATTCCCGCTTGTCAGGAGGAGGTGAATGAAGAAGAAAGGATGGAGGTGGAGAGTGAGGAGCATGGCACAGAGGAAAACACAGTGGGCTCAGCGGAGGATGTTCCCAACACCATCACTGATGGAGGTCCTGCAGGTGTCAAAGCTTGCACTGACATGACCTCACCTGACACCGAGGTCCAGAATGATAATGGCACTGACTCACCACGGACCTCTGAGGGGAAATCCCAGTCATCTTCATCGCTGGAGACCTCAAACCAGAGCTCCTTACAGCAGGAAGTAGACGTGGGAGGAAGTGAAGGTACTTGCGCTGTCTCTGTTTCATGACAGAAACAGTTTCTTAAGTATTTTTGTCTGGTTTTCCAGTAAAACATCTAAACATGCTTAACGTAAGATGAACTGTTTAGAATAAGATGGAGAATAGATATTACATTAAATTTTTTGTTCCATGAACAATTATTTGGTTTCTTGTTTTCAGTGTTGGGGGTAACTCGAGTTACGTAATCAGATTACTTTTTTCAAGTAACTAGTAAAGTAACACATTACTTTTAAATTAACAAGAAAATATCTGAGTTACTTTTTTTCAAATAAGTAACGCAAATTACTTTGTTTCCCTATTGATTCGCTGACTCCTTTCCTGTCCCTGTGTTGAGAGAAATTAGGAGTAAGTGCAGTGGCAGAGGCATTTTCTTCAGCCTGAGGTTTATTAATTTCACTCTTGGTGTGAAAGGACCTTTACAGTCGCCAAAAATATAACTTTTGGGTTTTCTGTTATTAAAAATAAATAAGCAAGCCCAGCCCAGGTGACGAAAAGTAACACAAAAGTAACACAATGCATTACTTTTCATACATAACAATATTGTAATGACGGTTTTTCAGCAATGTAAGAATATAGTGGAAATAAATTGTGAAATCTCACCATCTTCTTTTGTTTTACTCAATTAAAACAGATCATTATTAAATTAAACTTGAACAATACAAGAATTTCTGACAATAATGATTTTTAATGATACACACAAATCTATGCTTTGATACGCTCGTTGCACTTTTGCTAATATTCACTCTTTCAGTATTTAAGTGTGGGCTTTCTTTAAATTTGAGCTAGAATTTGAATTAAATAGGCCACACCTCACAGGAAGTTAAATCTGAGGGACAGGAAGTGGAATTTATTTATGCACAGCCCTGGTCCGATTGAAGTGTTGACCTAATACAGCCCTTATCAAAGATAATATTTTTTGAAGATTTTTTGCTCATGGACTGGCTTTTAATAAATTCAGACAATACTTTATCCAGAGGGGGGAGTCCTTCTGGATTATGGAGTAGAACTCTAAAATTGGCAGACATACCTGTGAGCAAGTCATTAAATATTTTAAAGCCATGGAGGATGAAAGTATTATTATGAGTGCTTTTTGAGGGGTGTTTGTTCACACTGCACATAAATCAAATTTGTTTTTCATACCCAGGCTACGTGAAGAAAACAGCTGTTCATTTGGACAGCCAATATCTGGTGCATCTACATCTGTTGCCACAGTAATAACTCCACACGATACCTAGAGTTTCAGACTGAAATGTATTTCCAAAAATCCAATTTTAATCAAGTTTGTAAAAATCAGTCTGAACAATGCCAAAGCATTTAGAACATGACTTTGCCCAGATGGCATTACAGCTGAAGATGGCGAATTGTTTCTGTGCGAGATGCTTGGGAAGTGCATGTGGAAGGTATTTTTGAAGGCAGTAGGTGGATGTGAGCACAGGGTATCCACAGGTGCAGCATCAAGCAGTACTAGAGGTTTTAAGTTCTGTTTTGGCTTTTTCATGGAACATTTTTTAAGTTTTATGTGGAAGCCAGGGAGAAAAAAAATATCCCACAACTTTTGCGCCACAATTAAAATAGTGTTCTCAAATGTATGCAACAAAACTGCTATTCCAAGTGCTGGAATTGAGTGCTTGAGTGTGTGTGATGTGGGATTTGTGCTGAAGGAATCTGTGTGAATACAGACATGGGCTCCCAGATGTGTGACAAATGTCTATGTTTGAAGTCTTGTGTCATGACAAGAAATGATGGCATTAAAATCTCTCTCTCTCTCACACACACTTTCAGAGCAGACAATGTCTGTGGAGCCTGAGGATGCTGTAGCTGAGAAAAACGCAGATGCTCCTGATCAGCTACATCCCGGCATTGAGGTAATGTGCAAAGTTTACCGAAGGTTTTAATATCAGGTATTTCTCCTATTCCAGTTTTATTGTGCAGAGACATGTAGTCCATTCATAGGTTGACTTCCTGAAGTGTGGATCTATCACAACATTGCTCTCAGTTTGTCTGAGTGGCCTGACATATCAATTGTTGGCTTAACGAATGAGTTCAACGGCAAACAAAAGGGTAATGGGATTGTTTTAGAATATCTATTTTGGAAAAAGTGTCTGAATATATTTGGTATATTTTTCACATTTACAATTCTGTCTGTCATTTCCCCTAGTCTTACTGAGTGCATCTCTTTTTATTTTTCTCCCTCTTTCTCCTTTAGGATCAGGTGATTGTGATGCCAGAGACCGTAAAGGCTCCATCGTCAATACCTATAAGAAACTGTAAGTCCTTTGAACAAATTTAGGTTACTTTCTGATTAAGTGTGTTCATATCTTTATAAAACAATAGTACTGTTTATACTATGTTTTTTTTATTAAGAGACTTTAAAACAGACCTTGCCGACCCAAACATTTTGAAAGGTAGTGTTGTGTCATTCTGTGTGTATATATATATATATATGTGTGTGTGTGTGTGTGTGTGTGTGTGTGTGTGACCCTGGACAACAAAACCAGTCACAAGAGTCAACTTTTTGAAATTGAGATTTATACATCACCTGAGAGCTGAATAAATAAGCTCTCCATTGATGTATGGTTTGTTAGGATAGGACAATATTTGGCCAAGATAAAACGATTTGAAAATCTGGAATCTGAGGGTGCAAAAAAATCTAAATATTGAGAAAATCATCTTTAAAGTTGTCCAAATGAAGTTCTTAGCAATGATATTACTAATCAAAAATTAAGTTTTGATATATTTACAGTAGGAAATGTACAAAATATCTTCATGGAACATGATCTTTACTTAATATCCTAATGATTTTTGGCATAAAAGAAAAATTGATCATTTTGACCCATACAATGTTTTTTTTGGCTATTGCTACAAATATACCCCAGCGACTTAAGACTGGTTTTGTGGTCCAGGGTCACACACACGTGTATATATATATATACACACTTGTTTATGCATTTGTTTATAAACTGTTTTATATGTGTTGTATCATTCTGTGTTATTGTATTGTAGTTGCGTTTTTGTTTGTGTGTGTGTATTTTTGTTTTATATAGCTGTGTGTGTTGTCTGCCTATCAGGTTCAGGCTGTAAGCTGGAAGTGGGAGTGTCGTCATGTCTGCTGACCCCCTCTGCCTCACCAGGAGCGGCTGAAGAGCGAGGGATGAATGAAGGAATGTGAGTACCACACAAACAAAACAGCAGAGTGAGATAGAGAGAGACAGGGTAGCGCAGAGGGAAAAGGCTTTGTTTGGGGGAGAAAAAAAACAAAAAACAAGAAAAGTCTCTGTAAAACACCTACCGACCTTCTAACAGGAATTGCCAGAAGTGAGTCGTAATGAAAGAAATGAAAACTGAAAATCGAGGGTTGTCTTTGAGTCATGATATTAAATGTTCTTTTGTGTCTCCAGCGTACCTTTGAATTTTTTTATATGAATAAATACTCATTCATGTTTTCGGTGCGGTCTCAGAGGTGGCTTTGTGAAGTTGGAGACGGGTGGCATGAGCCCGGTGGACTGGACTGTAGCAGACGTGGCCAGCTACTTCACCGCGGCTGGATTTCCAGAGCAGGCGCTCGCTTTCAGGACACAGGTGCGCTGAACTGTACTGCATGATCCTTGAAGAGTACAAACGCTACTTTACTGGACTTAAGACAGAAGCTATGCTGTAGATAGAAGGTTTAACTGAATCTTTGTTCCTGACAGGAGATCGACGGGAAGTCCCTCCTTCTGATGCAAAGGAATGATGTGCTGACAGGCCTGTCAATCAGACTTGGTCCCGCCCTAAAGATCTATGAAAGACACGTGAAGGTTCTGCAGAGGACCCATTTCCAAGATGACGAAGCTTTCTGCTGATACACACACACACACACGCATATATATTAGCTATTGGACATGACAAAGTAACTCGCATGTACATATACCAAACAATATTTACTCATCCCAGAACACGCATATTCCTGAAGACATTCAGTATGACTGTTCAGGACTTCCTGAACAGAAACAGTTCTTGTTTTCCTCACACACAATGTATATATATATTTTTTAATCAGTAATCCCGCAGCTATTGGAAAGAACTTTGGCCTGAAAACACATGAGTAAAACGAACCGAACTAAGTAGAAGAATGGAGTAAGTTTGGGAAGACTGAAAAGAGAAAAAATATCTTATTTTTTTTTAAGAAGTGTCAACCATTTTTTGAAATGACTGTGCAGTTCTGTGCAGTTAATGCTGCTCTGATGGATACCACTGTTTGGATTGTGACCCCGAATTAATTTCATCAAGTGGATTTTTTGTTTAGTACTTATTCAGTCCAGTATGGGAGCAGAACATCATTTTTTTGTGACCTCACTGGTTTCAAGATTGCTATTGAAACCAAACAAAGGCTGGAGGGTTTCCACTGCGCACAGAACGTTTTGTTAAAAATTTTCCTCCAAATGTAAAAAAAAAAAAAAAAAAAGGGCCAAAAACCGTCTGGTTACAGTTTGAAAGAAGTACATTCTGATTGGATTTTTGTTCTTGACTTTTTAACACTTTTGCAATGACACTGAAACCCTTGTCTTCACTCAGTGATAGACTAAATGATTTCTTCCTGACATATTGAAATGATCTTGAATGTCTAATATTCCTTCCAGTTTTCTTGTCTCTTGCACCGTTACGTCAGAGAAAAAAAACAAACTATGCAGATCTTCTGCACACAATCAAGTGGGCACATCTCACAGAGGATCTCCCTTTAAAGTGACTTTGACTCCTTTAATCTCAGATTTGCCAGCCATGACATTGTGGCCCCACATGTGGAACATCGCCATTGATAACTGAGCATAACTTTTGTAAATATCAATCAGTTTTTTTAAGGTGAAGTCCAAGTTGCGAAGCAATGACGATATTCCTTCACCAGCAGTTGAAGAATGTGTCTGAATGTCCTCAAATGCACAGAGAGCCCCGAAGCCATGCAGCTCTTGAACTTTACCGTTTGTAAAATATATATGTATCAGCCCATCAGATGAATATTGTGGGAACTGAACAATTTGTGTAAAACAATCAAATAATGTAAGGGTCCATTTAACTAATTACAAGAAATGACTTGGGGATGTGGGAATTGGACACATTGAATTGCTAACATATTTGTTAACCTGCCCTTTAGCTCCAGTGTCTTTTGCGTCGTTAAACTGATCGCATATACAGATGGACCCATCACACTTGTAAATGGGACCGTTACCGATTCTGTCACTAAAGGCAGGTTCATTTGCATTGTAAAGAAACCAATAGGTCAGTCTGATTTCAGATTATAGACACCTTTGTTTTGCCTGACAATTGTAGAACGTTGAATTCTTCAAACTGTCCTGATTTATTTATTTCTTTGTATGTTTGTTTATAAAATATTATCTTAATTTGTATGACGTTGACTAAATCTAAAGTAAAAGCTGGAGCTCATTGAAATGTTGATAATGCCTGCAGTTTCTCTGTTTATGCCTTCCATGATGAACCTCTTTTTACTTTGACTTATTAATGAAGTGGAATATCAACGAACCCCTAAAAATTAGTTTTCTGTGTTCTCAGCAAGTCTTTGCAATAAATACATTAACAGACTGCAAGAAAACAAGTATCGCAAAGCAAAAGAAAGAACTACTTAATTAAAAACAAGAAGCTACAACTGTTGTTAGAGATATAATGTTCAAAGGTTTGCCAGCAGAGGGTGACATGGATACTGAAATGTTTGGTTTTGGATCCGATTGTAAATGCCATCAGGGTAAAAGTTTACCTACGGTCATAAGTTACAACATTAGACCAGCATCCATCTTGATGAATGTAGATGCTGGGAGTGACTTGAAAAGAGTTTGAGAAGAATAATGCATTGTCCAATCATTGTGTAAGGTATTGAATGTCCATGTTTCTTCATTTGTGCTCTTTCTAGTTCATACTCTGATTGAAATGAACAGCAATTGTTTCTGTATGTCTTTTTGCTAGGGCTTGGTAAAAAAATATCGATATCTCAATATTAATCGATTCTCATTTTTACGGAACGATATCGATTCTTAAATCCCAAGAATCGATTAGTCTAGCCTGTTTTCAGTTAATGGACTGAACGTTGAAGGGCACTTCCCATCCAATATATCCAAAAAGGACATTCCAGATGACTGCATCAATGAACATTTATGAATCTTTTGACTGTTTGTGAATGTTTGTTAGAAGGAGGACAGGAATGTCTGGAATGAGCTAGGTGGGAAATGCAATGCCCGGGCGGGAAAGAGGGCAAACGCATTTGAAAACAATGGAAAACTGAAAAAGATTCATAAATACTCACTGTCTGTGGACATATGCATGTAACTTGGGTTGTCGTGTCAGAATCTTATTTATATGTGAGGGGATGGGTTTCAGACGTCCAGGGTGCCACACAAACACATTTTCTAGGCATGAAGCCAGGGACAGCATCACACTTTGTACAGCACTGCAATGAACTGAGGACTACAGACTAGAACTGGACTACAAACTTCTGACCTCTAGGATAAGGATAGACTGATTTCTGATCATCTCTGTCCCAGAACAGGCTCTTTTCCTCAGTTAAACACCTCTAGCCTGATCTGCAATGCCCGCCGCTGGAGCCTCAGAGTGAAATTAACTGCTAAGCTTTGGGTTTGTGTGTGTGTGTGTGTGTGTGTGTGTGTGTTTGTTTAGATTGAATAAGTAAGATTCTTCTTCTTCAAAAAAAAAAAGTTATTAAAACCCTTGTGCGCTCCTCATTTGGGAGTCACACTCATGGTCTTCGCGGTCAAAAGTGACCGGACACCTGAAATGTAACTTTTTTTTTCTTCAGTAAAATCAATCTAATATATTTTTGGTCAATAATACTTTTTCTTTTGTATTTTGAGAGAATTTCATGGTACTAATTAATATTTATGCAATAATTATGATACATTTTTCCCATTGAAAATAGTACAAAATATTTTTTTCTAATTTTTACAATTATTTTTCAATTAATGCAGTATTTCAGATTAAAATAGAGACTAGGCCTTTAAAATCCAATTTTTGAAGGCAGCACCTCCTGGTGAGAGCAAAAAAAACCCCCTGTAATTTCATGATGTAACCACTAGATTCCTGTATAGGACTCTATAGAGAGGCGTGTGAACTCCCTAGTTGTTTTTATACATAATTGTTTACTTTTGTTAGGTTGTGGATTTAAATGTATATTAAGGCATTCTCAAAGACTACTTTTTGTCAAGGTTTATATTTTTTGTTGTTTTAAATGTTGATTTGAAGTGTAGGTTTTTGCATTATTATTACTACATTCAAACCTGAACACAGGAAGCAGATTGTTACACAAAACATTAAAATTCTATAAAAATGTAACAAAAATAAACAGGAATGCTTTATCAGAGCTCAATCCTTCTGAGTGATCTGATTTCAACCTCTTATTTCAGTCTTCTGACTCATTTTGGCTATATGGTTATAGCCATACCAATTTTTGAGTACTCATTTGATTATGTATAATTCTGTATGTGTGTGTAAGTAAGTGTGTGTGAGTGGATATATCCGTTTTACACTCTTGATGTTTTAGAGTGTAACCCCTTCCTTGCTGTCCACTTTTTTACTGCCTCGTAGTCGAATTATTTATTTTATTTTACATAGTTGCAGTGTTACAGTCACACCATAGGTGTGTGTGTGTGTACAAGTGTGTGTCCGTGCGTGTGTGAGTTGGTGTGTTGATTTTGCACTCTAGATGTTTTAGAGTTTCACCCCTTCATTGCTGTGCAATTTTTTTTCTGCATTGTGGGGGATTTGTAGATTGTACACACAAAAATGTTCTGTATTTTCGCTGTAAATTTTTCCCATTTCCCATTCATTTCCTATGGTCGGTCTTTTTTGACCGAAGACAATGAGTGTAACTATTTTTTATGACCACTTAGCTTTTTCGAATCATGCCCTCAATTTCTTTTGTGTTCACATACCAAGTGTCATAAAACTCACCAAGTTTCGTACCATTCTGGTGAAGCTATGATTTTTAAAAATTCTAAATGTAAAATTCTCCGGTCAGAAATGACCGAAGACCGCACAAGGGTTAAACATTTTAGTTGTAGTTCTCTTTTTCATAAAATTCAGAATATTTATCATAACATGAAAAGTAATGTGTACGTGTTTGTCTGAGTAGTTTTATCTTAGCTGTAGAAATAACTTTGCTCTAAAACAGACCAGTGTCACATCAAGAAACAGGAGACCAGACAGCAGTTATGTGTGTGGGTTTGTTTTCACACTAGTGCCACCAAGAACTGTTTTCATGTTTCATTCTCCTCATTAAAACTCAGTTACGATTATAAAATGGGTTTTAAACCTTGGTATGGCCCAACTTGAATGTACATGAACTCTAAGTTCATTAGAAGGTAACTGTAAGCTAAAAATAAACATTATTTCTATTAGTTACGTTTTATGCAGTCTTGACGCTGTTTTAGTGTAAAATTCCTATGCAGGCTATTATAAAATTTATATGCAGTGATTTTCAATATCTCTGGAGCGTATATAAATATATTCTGAAGAAAGATGCCACAAAACAAAAGCTGACTTGGCTTTTATGAAGAACCGTGCATGTACTTCACTGTTTATTATTAATGTTGTGGAAAATTGGATTGTGCATTGATATAACGTGTGTGTGGGTGTGTGTGTTGAACAGTCCAAAGTCGGAGGATTTCTCCACTGCTATTCTGAAGCAGAAGATTCGACCAAATCGACTCATCGTGGACAAAGCCAACAATGAGGACAACAGCATTGTGTGCTTGTCACAAGTAATCTATCTATTTTTGTGTGTGCAAGTGATAGAGCGATGAAATTGCAGTGTGTAATTTATATCACTAGCTGCACCGAATTGCAAAAGTAATCATTGTTTCAAACAGGGTTCCAAACATGTGCATGTAAATCCCTGCATGAGTGTTACAGGTTAAAATGGAGGAACTGCAGTTGTTTTGGGGAGACACTGTGGTGTTACGCGGCCGGAAGTGGAGGCAGACAGTCTGCATCGTTCTCACAGATGACACGTGTCAACGAGCGTGTGCGCATGAACAGGGTCACCCGCAACAACCTGCGCATGCGTCTCGGTGATGTGATCAGGTGTGTGGTGATGACATAAGGTTTTACTGTTGTCTTACTTCCCAGCAAGATCATTAAACACATTTATTTAAAACTAGAGGTCTTATCTGCTGCTGATGGTGAAGCAAAACCACATCTACTGCAGTGCTTTAAGGCATTCTCAAAGACTACTTTTTGTCAAGGTTTATATTTTTTGTTGTTTTAAATGTTGATTTGAAGTGTAGGTTTTTGCATTATTATTACTACATTCAAACCTGAACACAGGAAGCAGATTGTTACACAAAACATTAAAATTCTATAAAAATGTAACAAAAATAAACAGGAATGCTTTATCAGAGCTCAATCCTTCTGAGTGATCTGATTTCAACCTCTTATTTCAGTCTTCTGACTCATTTTGGCTATATGGTTATAGCCATACCAATTTTTGAGTACTCATTTGATTATGTATAATTCTGTATGTGTGTGTAAGTAAGTGTGTGTGAGTGGATATATCCGTTTTACACTCTTGATGTTTTAGAGTGTAACCCCTTCCTTGCTGTCCACTTTTTTACTGCCTCGTAGTCGAATTATTTATTTTATTTTACATAGTTGCAGTGTTACAGTCACACCAGTTCATAGGTGTGTGTGTGTGTGTGTGTGTACAAGTGTGTGTCCGTGCGTGTGTGAGTTGGTGTGTTGATTTTGCACTCTAGATGTTTTAGAGTTTCACCCCTTCATTGCTGTGTCATTTTTTTCTGCATTGTGGGGGATTTGTAGATTGTACACATAAAAATGTTCTGTATTCTTGATTTTTTTTCCCCCATTTCCCATTCATTTCCTATGGTCGGTCATTTTTGACCGAAGACCATGAGTGTGACTATTTTTTTTATGACCACTTAGCTTTTTCGAATCATGCCCTCAATTTCTTTTGTGTTCACATACCAAGTGTCATAAAACTCACCAAGTTTCGTACCATTCTGGTGAAGCTATGATTTTTAAAAATTCTAAATGTAAAATTCTCCGGTCAGAAATGACCGAAGACCGCACAAGGGTTAAACATTTTAGTTGTAGTTCTCTTTTTCATAAAATTCAGAATATTTATCATAACATGAAAAGTAATGTGTACGTGTTTGTCTGAGTAGTTTTATCTTAGCTGTAGAAATAACTTTGCTCTAAAACAGACCAGTGTCACATCAAGAAACAGGAGACCAGACAGCAGTTATGTGTGTGGGTTTGTTTTCACACTAGTGCCACCAAGAACTGTTTTCATGTTTCATTCTCCTCATTAAAACTCAGTTACGATTATAAAATGGGTTTTAAACCTTGGTATGGCCCAACTTGAATGTACATGAACTCTAAGTTCATTAGAAGGTAACTGTAAGCTAAAAATAAACATTATTTCTATTAGTTACGTTTTATGCAGTCTTGACGCTGTTTTAGTGTAAAATTCCTATGCAGGCTATTATAAAATT